AGAGCACTGACTCTGTTGGTTCATACTCACCAAAACTAAGCATTGATTGAGTTGTTTCCAACTTCTGACATTCAGCAATCACCAGTTCGACGAACCCAGAAAACCGGGACTAATCAATCCAGCCATTGATTCCTATTAGAATTATCAGAATAATAAACTATAGTAATTTTTTATGAAACAGGTTAGCTATGTATGACTTACAGCCGATGTTCTAAATGGTTCCAGAAGAAACCGTTCCCAAATAACCGCATTACAGGCAGTTCGAATCAAGGCGATAGATATTGGACTAGACCACATGATTTGGACTGCATTCGAGCCTCCCACCAGGCGCATCATAAAATATCGGTGAAATAGCTCTAAATTCACTGACATCATGATGTCCCATTAACGTTTTCATGTCAGCGGTTTCGCACAGGAATGTTGGTCCAAACAGGTGACCCATCATACAAACCACAACGGAGTACTTGTGGATTCCTCAGAATTCCACCAAATTTTCTCTTCCCCTTATTTTTACCAACCATATACCTTCTGCATTCTGACTCCATCGTACTAATGGGGCAATGAGCACGATTGTACTGTGAGCTTGACGGCCTCATCAGAAACAAATCGCAGTCCTCGTGCGCTCCTGCTGTTTGGGCAGTAAGATAAGAGTTTCAAGAAAATTGCTTCAACGTAATTACCCAGAATTATTTGAAATGCTTCTGAACTGGGGCCGTTTTTCGTATCATCTGAGCTTGTTTAGGCGGACTGGCAAATGAATGACGGCTGCCACAGGAAGCTGCGCATCTAGCCCGGCACGTGTGGATTATACCATGCAGTTATGGATTCCATGGCTGAGGCGTAATACCAGACTTGGGGGATCTCTAAAACTACGAAAATAGTAATTAAGATACACTTTGTTCTCTAAAGTTGTGAATGCGTTCCGTTCCGCACCGAAGGCCCGGGAAGATGTGATGCTAACGTATCGATCACCCCACACACAGAAACGGTATATGCTGAGTGAATGCCTAAAGCGGTAACATTAGCAGTCACGTCGAACTGTCGTTAAGGTACTTTGAATGAATCTGTTCTCACATTTTTTGTCCAAATAATAGTGTTAAATCAGTTAGGGTTAGGCAGATTTATGCTTTTTGCCGTCTAAATGCGCAACCATTCGGTTTGTTAGCTCCCAACATCTCTGCGGTTACCGAAATCCCACAGGTAGTACCTAATAGCTGGAAGACAGTTCACAGGTATCGGACAGGACACATGAGCTCGGCCATGCTACAACTGCCACAAAACTACTTTCCAGTGATACTACTACCATCTTTCCATTAGCTGACCATCTAGCAGTATGGAAGGGCTCTTGATACCCGTCGGAAAAGTAAGCTGAATTCTGCAATGAAACCAATCCATGGTGCACCTCCCTACAGTGATGAGGTTTGGACGGTCATGTCAAATTTCTGCTGTGTTCTCAGTAGCAACTGCGGCAGTAGCTAAAACAAATAGCTCACCATTAGTTATCTAAATACAAATTATAGGAAGCGAATTTGTGCAGAGCTTCCCTTGGGCTGATGAAAAAAATTAACAACTACCATTCTACAGCAGCCGTCTTTCGCCAATCTCGTCCGGTGTAGAACGCCTTTGAGGCGACGTGAGGAATTCTGGCCGTCAGCACGCGTACGTGATGGTTCGTTGGTGAGTCTTTCCTTGAGCACAGTCGTATAGAAAGCTGGTTCCGAGTTTCGTGACAAAAATGTCACAGCTAAGTCACCGAACTGTGGTGAGATAGGTCGAAAGAATGAAATCAGAACTAAACCCTACAAGAAACGCTTCTGACAGGTGCAATGCAGCCCACGGATATAGCTCACTAAGAAAATGACTTGTTTCACATTGTAAAATATACAAACGATTTCCTCGATAGGGAACCCCCAGCAAGGACCACCTCACCGTTAGAAGTACTTTTGCATTTCCAACAAGTATGGGATTCCAGTGAAATGGACAGAAAGAAATTAGACGCAGTCCCATGGGGACGAAAACCCCTCACGAAAGGATACTGTGTTGTTAGGCAATCGATGCTTTCTGCCAAACACCCAGTTATTCAATTTAACTGTTGAGTGTGTTCGGGTAGCCGACACACTTCGGCAGTAAATTGTGAAAAAATGTCGCTGGGTGAACACTAATCATTCATCAAACCGACCCAGATAGGCTTTTTCAGGTAATCACATCAACAACTTAAACAAATGCGACACGTGTCTCCGTGTTTACAGACCGGAACTAAAGTTCAACCTTTGTCTCTGACACTTGCTTCAACCTGAACTCTGTGAACAGGCACTTGCCTTATACTGAGAACCTAAATCGTGGGCCATCCTTCATAATTTAAGAGGCTTGTTCAGTTGGGTATCGGTGACGCGATAGAAAGAATGGATGAACGACTATTACTATGGGAGCAACTACACCAGAAAGGCAAGATGAGTCTCTGCTCGCGCATAATGCAGTGAATCAAACCCAAGCTGTTTGAACGAAAATACAAGTTTCATCAACACGAGACAATGCAAAGCAGTTACCAGTCAGAGAATTCAAGATGTATCGTGTGATGGTTAGAAAGAATAAAATCATGCAAATTCGGAAAATTAGAGCCCTACAGGATGTGCATCCAAACGTTATTTACGTAATGCATATTGACATTCTACCACCGGTAGTCTGTGCTTCGATCATCACTCCGTGCTCCCTATGGACAGACGTCAGCTACTGCATGAGATGGGTGTCGCCACTTTGATATAAATCCCAAGGATAGACATGAAACTCACGAGATATTCCACACATTGAATTAACGAAGCGTCGGCAAATAAGCCAACCATAAGTTAGAGCACACACTTTGCAATCATATTATTTCGACACGATCTGTTCAATATATATAA